TCAGTTCTCAAACAATACAATACACTTAGCACTTGTCTCAACAAAGTAATGCAAAATTTTATATTTGCAATCGTGTTATAAAGATTATCAATAAGAATAATTTTTAGAATACTTCACAAATAAAGATCCTAAAATTTAGTTTCTACGAAGTAAAGAACGATATTACCGAGCAGTCTGATCTTGAAATAATTAAATAAAAAAATTTCAATTTTCTCATTTAATAATACTTTCGTTTATTATTTCTAGGAAACTGCTGGAAATTTTAAACAGTGAAACCTCAACTATTCGATTTAATTGGGCTACTAACAGCTCAAATAAATGGAGGCTCGAAACGGAATTCTTCGAAGTGTGTTTTCAAAGATCGATCGTATCCTACATTTCAAGGTATAATCTGGGAATTTGAATTGTTAAATTTGTGGATGATCAACACTCTGAATGATTCACATCGCGAAAAGTAGTGATTCGGTTAATCGAAGTCCTACTGTATTATTAAACAGTAATGGCACATTGCACATAAATAAACTTTAAAAAAATTGTCTAAGAAATGACTCATCATATTGTCTACTTAGATAAATGAATAAAAAAAAGTTAACATGTTGCGTACGTTTGTTATCGTATCGCAGAAAACCGTGCAAGAGTGCAACGAGCATATAACCACGAACCAAACTCGTCACGGCTTTCTCATGCGGGCATCGATATCACCGTAGAGCACGTTTCGTCCCAGCGTTTGAATCTATATTACGTCGAACGCGAATAAATAATAACTTTCATGCCAGTTGCAATTACCATAAATTTAACAATTTTTATATATCAAACTGTCTTTTCTCAAGAATAAATTAAAGTATAAATAAAGCAAAATTCATTTTCCTTAATTATATTCTATATTTTTAATCATATTATATATTCTCAGACTTTAAACTAGGCAATTTCGTACCCGTTCTCAATTTCAAAGATTGAATCAGCCTTGAAATTAATGAAATACTTAATTAGCTCGCGAATAATCAGAACGAGACAGGATCAGTTCAATTTAGAAAAATCAAATATGTTATCCAAAGTTATTTTAATCTTGATGTTTTCAGTCATCCGTTAATAAAAAAACACAAAGCTTCAAATCTTTTTATGAATTTTCGAGATAAATTTTCTTACTTCGCAACGAAACTTTGCTATCAGGCGCTAATTAATCGCCAAATTACTGTTTGTGTAAAAAATGTGCTTTTTTCAGTCGAAGAATGTTACACGACTACTTTATACTTCAGGAAAAACATTTCAAAGAGTATCGTGAAAACAGTGAACTGTTTAATATTTTAAATCTGTTAAAGCCCTTCCAGTGATCGATAATAACTGTCCTACCACTACCAACAAAAATTGTATCAACATTTACATATGTTTGAACGATTGAACTTGTCTACGGAAATATTCATATAAATTTCGCACAATTATCAAAATTACATAGCACATACACCGAACGTGTTCACCACACAGAAGCACTGCCAGTCGAAATACCGCCTGCGCAAGCATCGAAGTCACCAAGTACCCAGGCGTGTTCCGCGCACTTTCAACAGTTTAAAAAGAATCCGTCGGATTAAAGAATCGAATGCGAGCCGTATCACACATCAACCAAATATTTCGTCGGCGTTTCACTGAAAATTCTCCTTTAATCCATTATTTATAGCCCCGAACGCGTTTTTCGTGCAAGGAATCACTCGTGCGTATCCCCAACGCTTTCAGTGACTCCAATCAAAGAAGAAAATGTAAAAGTGAACACAAAACGATCATCGCGAGAATTAATCGTTGCATCGACGTCGCGAGAACTGGCTGCATAAGCCGAACCATTTAAATCGATTAGCCGCAACGCGATTTCGAAACGATAACAACCAGTTCGAGGAGACGGTTGCACCAAGACTGATCCATGGATCGTGGCTCGGAGCAACGAAAGCCGCGAATCGAGCAATGGATCCCCACCACACCTGCTTCTCACCCCCTTCTGCCTTTCGATTCCCCGCTCATTTTCAACCGGCGGGAACGGTTTCCTTTTTCTCCCGGCCCTTAACCCTCTTTTTCTCGTCGACGAACCAACGATTTCTCTCTCGAGCTTGGCTCGCGAGACGCCACGATAAACGCAACCCGGGGAACCGATCCATCGCTCGTACGATTTCCATTTCCTACCTTCGACCGTTTTGCAGCTCCCAACGGAACGGAAAGCGGCATTTCATCACCGAAACTCACTTTTCTCAATTGTAATATTAAAAGGAATATTTTTCATTGACCCTTAATAGTTTACGCTAAAAAATATTCTTAGCTTTTCTATCCGAAGACTGGATCAATGTTACATACGTAACACTTTTTTATAATATTTTAGTAATTTATTTGAGAACATTTTACAAGCAGTAAAATTGCATTTATGTGTAATATGATCGCGATATTGTAGATAATTGTAACAGAAATTGATAAAATGTATAATTATTCAAATGAAATGTGGTATTAAGTTTGCCTGAATATAGGACAGCTAAGGGTTACTAACCTATTAGTATCCTATTGGACACATTTCCAAACTGATTTACATATAGAATCGAAAGTTAAATTAGACAAAGTAGTTTTGACATAAGATAAACAAAGTCAAATACAGTAGTTTATTTTAGTTTACCTTTCTTTTGTTTCTCGCATTGCCTTAATAATGTTTTTTGAAAGAAATTCGTTTATTTTAACAATTTTTGAAGAAATAATATAACAACAACCCAGATGTGTCGTACTATTGGTGACAACAACAAATCAACTACTGGTCGTCGGTGACACCCAACCAAATTTGTCATGGTAATTTATGATTAGAGAACATCTCTAACACGCTCGTAGCTTGTAACAACGATACATAATTATCAGTGAACATGTAAGTATTCGAATAAAGCAGTTTTTATTAGATTAACTTTGCACCGAAGATGTTCTGAAATCAAAACCAACATACACACATTGAAACTGTAATTACTGTTCAGTTTTTTCCTTCTTTAATTATTTGTTCAAAGCGCATCTAACGATCTTACCCCTTAAGGGTTAAAAATATTAACATACTTGATAGATGAATACTACTTGGGACATCTGGGACAAATCTGTCTTTTTGTTTATAATTATCACGTTCACGATATTAATCGAACACATCTTGTCAGTGGTAATATTAGGGCTAGTCATTGATATTAAATCGAATAAAATTTAGATAATACACAATTAAATTGGAAGCTGAAATTACAATTTTGAGAAAATCAAAGACAAAAAAAAACGAGAGACTGTAATCGAATAATAATATTTGTATGAAAACTAAGAAAATATTATTATCGATAATATCTGTAATGTAAAACATTGATATATATTTACAAATACAAATTCGTGCAAAAGCTATACGCAAATTCGTTAGATTGACTATCTTACAAATTGTCAAAGCCCTTGTCCTTAAAGACCTCACATCTAAAAACTTAATTTTGAAATTTTAACTTAACTTTCCATAAAAAAGCCTTTATTTTTCTATTATATCATGATGTATGGGACACTCCGTATAGGTACTTACTACCTATTTATACGAGGCATCGCCAATGGCTTGAATACTCAACCACGCTCAAGAAAACATAAGAACAATAGTTTCGCAAAATGTCATGATTGAAAATTAACAGAAAATTCAACGTGCAATCATGTTATCCGAATTATAATTCAAAATTTCAGTAACAATTCGGTTACAATGTTTCAATTTTGCATTCAGATATCCCGAATAAATAAATCTTCCTCCGCAATATTCATCTATACAATATTTTAAAATTTCCATTTGAAAATAAGTATACGAAACCTACGTCGCACAAATCAAGAAAAATAATGTCATCCAGAAGACCACAAGTAATATCCGAGAGTGAAATTTACAACCACACAGGTGACCCAAAATAAAACCTAATTCCATCGAAAAATTACAGAAAACAACGTTGCACGGGAAGTGCTTTAACTACCCTGTTAGAAAACACACAACCAAAATGAAACAATTATGGAAAATGCGATTCGCTAAATTCCTTATCAACGATTTAAAGAATTACGGACCGGCCGGGTTAATACACATGGAAGCTCTATCAAACGTAATAGGAAAACCTATTCGTATTTGGCGATCATCGCACTGTTTCTATAAAACTATAAATGGCAAGCATGTGGACAAGAAGGCAATGCCAGTTGACGTTGAGTTTCACGACTGCAAATCGACGTACAGACAAATTGGTCACTGGACGTTGGTGGGTAATAAAGATCCCATTAACAACAAAACTGATTTGAACGGGTGTCTGTTCAGTGTGATCGCCGATCAAACAGAAAACTGTCCTATAGACATGAGAACTAACACTGTAGGACAGATGGCGAACAACGTGAACACGTTGATCGATCGAATCGATGTTATTTTATCATCATACGGTAAAGATGAACCAACGTTAATGATAGGTGGTGCTCGATACCATGGCATATCGCCGAGAGAAGCCGCAATTATTTTAAACAACTCGCAAAATGTATATTGTGATGGTTGTAGTCAGTTAGGACACCCAAGAGGTCATGTCTCCGATAAATTAGCCACGGGCCCATTAGACAGCGTCGAGAATTATTCTCGCTCGAGTGGTGGAATGAAATCAGGATTTCTAAGTTACACGGATCAAAACAATGTGGCGCATTTCGCGCTAAGTCATAGAAGCGCGCAAAAGGCGATGGAAACTTTAAATCAAGGTTACATGAACGCAACAGTGACGCTGCATGTGCGCGACTTACAAATCGCCGGTTGTGATTTGCCACAAATGAAAGAATGGTGCAACGGCAAAGAATGCTCTTATGCTTTGGACATCGCTCAAGTTACGTTGGTGCTACGACACCACCAAGGCAAACGTAGTGATCCAGACGCAGACGTATTCGTCCATACATTTTATCCCAGAAGTCGATGATTATGTATATACTTATTTCAGTAGGTCTGGGTTAGATACATACAATACAAATTTTGTTCATGATCATGTCACATGTCATTTGATCCATTATAATAATGACTTTACGAAAAAACAATTGAACAAAAATTGTCTTTGGTATCTATTCTTGCTCTCAATCTCACTTAGCAGGTCCTCTTAAGTAAAATAACATTCGTTGCACGCACCTACCTTATGTCTGGAATTTTTTATTATCTCATAGGGTGTCTTCGACATTGTTTTCACTTCTCCAAACTGGAGATTGTGACTGAAATTTACAAATTTCATCTTAATCAAATAATTCACTTTACACTACAAGTTATTTATTGTTTTATGTTTTACTTGTAACATATATCGATGTAAAGAACATAAATTTCGTTAACAGAATCTTATTTACGAATGCTAAGTAATATCTCATAAATGTCGCGTACAAACTAGAATACAGTTTGTAGAAGAAAAAACACTGACAATATGAATATATTAGATATAAAACACACCTGTTCTTTCTTACTTGCTGGCTAACAATTTTCAAACTTCAATTCTTCGATAATCAATGTTGCGATGATCGAATTTTCAGTTAATCGATATTCTTATTAGTTTGCTATATCTCAATTCTCGTAATCGCGTAAAAATCATTAAGCGAAATATGCGATATAGATTAAATATTATCACAAGGTATAATTAATATTAACATTTTGCAACATGAAACTAACAAGCGTTGTAACCAAATGTTCTATGATGTTTTTCGGAAATCAATTTTCTATGACAATGCGTTTAGAATTTGTATTCCATGAACATAGCTTCAGAACTTGGCCATACTGCATGCGTACAAAAAACTACTCTAAGGATTGTATTTTCAACCATAAACTGTAACTATCGATTTTTTTATTGAAGTTCGATTGAATCAATTTCAAAATCCACATTAACTTGATTACAATATATGAAAGTATATATAAGGTAAAGAACTAAAATATATTTAAGCAAAAAAAATGTTGGAAGTTTATTTTATAACAATGTCTGAAAAATAAAGTATCATTGTGTACATGTTTTCAAATGAGGTCTTTGTGTATCTTAACTATGAGTATCTATGAGTATCTGTTTTGTAGTAATATTCCGACACAATTATGTATTTACTTATTTATTTATTTAATTTCATAAAAACAGTTTATCTTATAGATCATGTATATATACACATTTAATCACGATATTTACACAATGTATTAAAACTTTACATGTATGCTATCTTATTTCGTGATTACACCATGTCCATACCATAGTTCTCAAACAATTCCTTGCCACTTCAACTTCATTATCATTTTCAGAACAATCTACTTTGGTAATATATTCAGAACCAAAACGCAACATATTTTCACATTCGTCCATATTACCTAAAAGTTTCTTAGAAAATTCAAGAATTTCCATTACATGTTCCTTAGTAACAACCATTTTCATGTGTTTGGACAAAAGTAATTTTTGTAATATATTTATGTATAGTATAAATATTGCCATCTTAATGTTTTTAGGTAACTTTGACTTTAAATTCAATACAATATTTAGAAGCATCAATTTATAGTGAACAGTATCCTCTTTCATTTTTAATATAATATTCAGAAGTGTATCTACTATTTTTATAATGAGATCAACATACTGAACTTCATGATCATGTAAACCCATTGTAATATTAAACAACCATGGAAGTAACCCATGCCCTTTTATGAGAAGAATTGAACCTTTAGTAATCCTTAATGTAGCACAAACGATCTCCAATATAAGTTTCTGAAACAGATTATACAATAGTCATAAAATTTTTAATATAATGCACATTTTAAAATAGACCACTGATGGTACCCGCTCTTGCATATAAATCTTACCTTCGTATCTGTATCTGTTAAACTACAAGTATAAAAATCCAACAACATTTTAAACAGGACGCACTTAAAAGCTACATCCAATTCACTTTCTGTTTTCATACCATCACGAATATTTTCTAAAATCCAACGCCTGTGCGCTTTGTATTCTACATCGGAGCTATGAAACAGTTGTAACAATTCAGGGATTGTGTTTACATCTAATGCAGGTTTTGCCATCAAAAATATTTGTAGACGCGAATACAGAGGATGTAACGGTTGTGTAGCAATTAAAGATGTTTTTGCTAAAAATGTAGAGACTAAACAATTCACACGCACATTGCCAAGCTCTGGTTCGGGTGTCGTAATACCATAACGTAATGCGTCTATTAATCTCATCCATAATAATTTTGATTTAGAACTATAAATAAATTTAAAAATTAGATACATTCAAAAAAAGTGTATAACGTTTACTAAATTGTAGCCTAAAGTACCTTGAAGCTTCCAAATGAGTATAATATCTAGCAATGATAGTATATGCTGCCATACGAACATTGGAATGATTACTGCTACATGCAACAAATGCTAATGCTAAAGCACCGCTTTTAGCTATTTTCAAACAAGACACAACATTATTTTCAGATAGTACGAAACATAATAACGGTAAATAAAATGCTGGATCATATACGTCATATGCTTCGTGCAATTCAGTGGCCTGAAACAATTAAATTAGAGTTACTTATTTCAAAAAATGATACTTAAAATAAGATCTCTGAATATTTTAATGAACGAACCTTTAATGATCTATTTACAGGATAATTTCGTATAGTATTATTGACAATGTCCTCCTCCAATAAGTTTAAAACTTGAGTAGTAGATGGTTGTTTCCACAAATTCAAATGAATGTCTCCCTTCACACTATAATGTATGGCAGCTGCATTTCCCCAAAGGTATGGTTGATATTCATAAATATTAATATCATTATTTTCATAATATTGCAAAATCTAAAATCAATATGCATATAGTATGGTGTATTTTTCTACAAAACATACTTTGTAACATTTAATATCTGTGACCTTACAAGTAAAAGGTACTGATCCGCTTCATTTAAACTAGCGTTGTATGCTGCCAAATATACCGGCACGTGTGACAATGCTATAACCGTTTTATTTTTCTGCATAAGAATCCATAATAATTCTACAAGATCTCCTAAAAAGAAAGTAGATTAATATGCAAATGAACATGTTTTTTAATTAAACACAAAGCATACACGTACTTTTTGCACTTGATGATTCTAACATAATGTCAAGGAACTCGGAATGAGAAGTTGTCATTTCAAATAAAGTTTTAACATATTCATTGTCACTGTCGTTTTTGTACGCAATATTACATAAAACACTTAAAGTTTTTAATATTGGTAGCGTCTGTTTGTTATTCTTTAATTCTTTAAAGCCTAATTTTAAAGAGAAACGTGAGAATTGTGGCCACGAGTGATTATTATGTAATGTTTCCAATACGAAATTTTCTTTCATATCTCGTAAATTTTTAACTGCATCGTTCAACTTTTCACAAAGAATATGCAATTTTGTTATATTCTTCGACTCTTTCTTTAATGTCAAAGTAGTTATATGAAGAAGGACTTGTAATAAATTCGTAATAAATTTTTCATTGTCTGTTTCCAATGTTGCATATTTCTTATATACACTTTCAAGAATTTGTATATATTGAATTGATACCATGTCCAATTTATCACCAGCTTGCAATATAGTACTGCATACTTCGCTGCAATTTTTAAAGTCGAATGTATTTTTAATTAAGTAAGAAACTGCAGTAACATTCTCTTCTATCCATGTTTTTACGTCTTTCGGATTGCATAAATAAGACAGAATCTCAGTTTCGTAATGTGTCTTTACTTTTTGCATAAATTCTTGACTCCATTTGTAATTTAAATTACTTGAAATTATTGGAAACACAATGTTGCCCTCTCTTATTTTCTCAGACTTTAACATATATTCTGTAAAGACTGGTATAAATTTTATATTTTTACTAATTAGAAATGAAAGTAGTCTTACAGTTGTATGTTTCATTTCCATTGATAGTAATGATAAAAAGACATCTGTAAACATACAATAAAAATTAAATAAGTACAATATAAAATAGTAATATATAAATTTTTATAATAATTATATTACCTGTATCAATGCCAGCAATCTTAAATGGAAATTTCGAAATATACTGATATAGAGCAAACTCCCACGTTTCAACATTAATAACTTCTTTAGATTTTAAGGTAAGTAGATGAGAACATAAACATTTGACAAATTCTATATCTAATTCGAGCAAAGTGTTATGAGATACAATTTCATTGGTGGTAATAATTTCTATAAGTTTTGGAATAATGCATCCATACATGGATAACTTTGTACCATCTTTTGAAATAAACATGGAATTTTCCAAGTTCAGAAGTTTCTTCAATAAAGATGTAACATCTTGCGATGTTAATTGTAGTAAGTTCAACAATGTTACAATCGAATCAACATCATTTATACTGTTACTTTTTTGATGCTTATTTATCATTTTGTGTAACTGCATAAGCAATTTATTTTTGAAATGGCGAACTAGGGTTCTTAGATTATGCTTATTGTACATATTAATCATTGCTTTACAAATATCAAGAATTATTAGAGTTATCATACTCTTCATGACATCCTTGCTTTTCTGATGAAATGGTGAAAAATAATACAAGATGACTGGGTGAGTGAAAACAGATTTTGCACATTCTTCCATTAATGTAGAACTATCTGAACTTTCTTTTGCAAGATGTAATAAAGATATTAAAAGAATTTTATGTTTATTGATTTGAGTTTCTGTTGAACGTCCTCGTTTAATAAATTGTGTTAAGTAAAATATAGTCATCTTGACTAAATACATAATTTCATATGCTGATAAAGAATAATGGATTGTAATAATCTCATTATTATATGTAAAAGTAACTGTATTGTCACCATTAAATACTTCACTTATTTGTATATTAGTATCATCTAACAATATTTGATTCAGTTTACATACTAAGTCCATACAAGGAAATATTTCCTTAACATGAATAGGATTATTACCCTCCAACCAGCTTTGTAAATATTTATGTACTGGCAATTCTTGTATATCTTTTGTTAAATGTATTATACATTGCGGTACAACTTGATAGTGCAACGTGTGTACTAGTACATAAGAAGCATAAGATAATACTGTAGGATGTAAATTTTTCTTCATTTTATGTAACATGCAACATAATAGCGGCGATACTGATGTAAAACGTTGCATAGATAACATATTATTTTCTACACTTTCATGTATAATGTTTCTATCTGTGAATTCTGAAAATTCAAAAAATAAACTTCAAGTAAGTATAATGTAAATAAATTACGTATAAATTATGGATTAATTCATATATATATATATATTGACAATTTTTACCATTAAATATGTCTTCCAATCGACCAGCCTGAACAACTCCTTCACTAATAATTTCTTCTGCTTCAATTACTTCATTCACATACTTTTTAATATCTTTAGAAGTTTTTTTTATAAGGTGAACAAACCAATCAACTATTTCTTCACTTTCATCTAAATTTATAAAACCATTGATCCAAATGTCTAATTGATCATTACATCCTTCAAAAATTCCAGTAATATTTAGTAACATCTTTATTGTTGATTTTACACTCAATGCATTCGTAGAATCTTGTTTATTCAAAAGAGACAATAGAAATGATAATGTATTGCTAAATATTTTCTAAAAACAGAAAGATTTGTTTATAATTCAACAAAATTTTGGATTAATGAAATGTGAAGGTTTACATAAAATCATAAGACTTGACTTACTTTCTGTGGTGAAAATTCAGTAGGATTCAAAATAATTAAAAATTGAATGGCTTTTATACGTATTGTATTAAGCTCAATTGTATTAACATTCTCTAATGTGTTCAGTGGATTTAAAAATGTAGTAGCTGGTACTTCCACTAAGGCATGCAAGAGTTTTGGACATATTTCATTGTACATATGTAATAAGTTTAAGATAGCTGCTAAGTGATCCTCTTTTCTTGGTTTTGGAATACATTCTTTATTAATACTATCATCTTCAACTTGACTTGGTTCAAACACGTTACTCCACACGTTCAAAATTATATTTAATTTAGGTGCATTCTAGAATAGAACACAATTTTTTTGATTTAGTGAAACATTTATTTTACTATAATAATTATATTTAAATACCGAAAACATACCTTTAGTATATATTCCAATACAGAAGTTCGAAAAGTATGAAAATCATTATATTCATTGTAATGTACTTTAGCGGCTAATAAAAACTTTTGTATTTGATGAAACATAGTTGTAAGTGTAAGTACTGCTTCATGCCTTACTGTCATATGAGAATAAGTTAAAGATGACAAAATTGCATGTTTCAATACAATTTCTGATAAAGTCAATGACATTACTGCATAAGCTAAATGAGGAGCACTTAATTCAGAAGAACATGTTTTTAAGCAACTTTCTGCATCCAATGATGCTATTACCTACAATAAAGTGCAACATAGACATTTAAAATCTTTTGAACTATACATTCAATTGCAAATTTAATATGACTTAAATTTCACATATTCATAAAAAATTACCTTTCTCACAAATTTCATTGCTGAAATCCATTTCATTGATACTTTAGGTTCAATATATGGTTCTAACAATGTAAACTGAGATTTAATTAAATCAGGGCATGCTGTCATTATTTTGATTACTAGATCAGATGGTTTATCATGTTCCCAAGGTCGATCTAAACTTTGAAGTACTGTATTCACTAACTGATTATGTTTAGTTTGCGACATACCAAGTGTGTGATCATGGAATACAATTCCATACCGATGCGATGTTAATAATACAATTAAGAAATCATGTACAATTTCATTTATGATCTGAAAGTAAGAAATTGTTGTAAACTGATTGAATACACATAGAATTAACTCAAAATATTATTAAGAGTAAATACCTCTTTTTCTTCAAGATATTGTGGATTTGTTATTAAGTTATTCGTTTTATTTTTTGGCCAATTATTTGGACCTTTCCAATTATATAGGTGTACAAGGTTTTGAACTACTGATGTTGAAAATACATGTAACTTCATAGTCTTACTAATTTTCGAATTTTGAAGAATATAGGTCTTTAAAGTAGTTAACACTAAAGCAACAGTATCTTTTGAATCGTATAACAAGTCAGGAAATATACTAGAAAGCAGATCATATTTGTTCAATAAAGTTCTAATGGTTAATATATTTCCTTCTATTAAGAAAGCAAGAATGAAATGAATGAAACAGTTTCTTATATTCTGATTGTCTGTAGGCTTTGTTTGCTTTACAAGAGATGTAATGACATCTGGTTGTAAAGAAAGATGTGCAAGTAATTCACGTGGAAGATTACCACCTAATGAAACAATTGCAGCTAACAATTGTAGAACCGTTTTCCGTTGCTTAGCATTACTTTGTACAGAAAGCATGGAATGAACTACCGATAAATATGAATTAATTAAATGTCTACATGCTCCATCTGCGCTAGACTGATATTGTGGATACTGCGCCATAATTCTGAGAAAATATATATACATCAACATAAATTTAAATTACATATTTCCTTTTAGCAAAACTGCATTTAGACATACGTACTTTATTAACATTATCCTGACCGCTGAAAAAACAGTGGTAGCAGAACCAATATTTTTCTTATCTGCGCTATCTAATAATCTTAATAATTCAAGAATATTGCCACCTGCGTTTAAATATTCTGCAGCCATATCTTTGTTTTTATTGTTATTGCAACTGTTCACTAACTCTTTTAGATAATCTAAACCATTACTAGAGTTAAAAATAGCCCTTAAGGATTTTCCATCTAAGTTCTCAATTTGAGTCTTTATATTTTTATCGTCTTTTACATTTTCTTCATCATTTTCAATATTTTTTACACCTACAATATAATATTTTAATATTGTTTTTATACCAGATATTGTATATACTACATAGTAAAAGAAATATATTACTTTGCATTGACTTCAAATCCTTAGTTTTTACACTGTGTTCAGATGTTCCTGATATTTCAAGTGAATCTGCTTTATGTGTCTTCTTACGTTTCTTATTAACTCCATTTTCTTTATAGGGTGAATTTCTTTTCAATGTTTTTACGTCATTACATTTATCCACTACTTCTACATTATTACTGTCCATATTGCTGGCTCCTACATAGTACATTATATTAAATTTATATTGTTATTAATGAAAAATAGAATTTATATGATGTAAAGTATTAAGTGATATTTTAATATATTTTCAACACATACTATGTGAAATAAAATTCTACTTACAGGATAATTAAAATATCTTTTATATAAATTAAATTTACCTTCATCCTTTAGAGTATCCGTTTTTTTCCTTTTTTTCTTAGTATCAACTTGAATGGTGCTCGATTCTTCGTTTCCTGTATTGAGCTTCATAATTATTAAAATTTTATTACGTATAAAATAAATAAATTGTAATATGCACTTTCAATACATTTATCATGTCTTGAAATAAAAAAAAATTAATTTTTAATTTATGTTGAACCTTTAAGATGTAGTTCAAACATTGAAATTTAAATAACCTATATCAGGCATAAACCACGTGCGTTTCTTCACTGTATGTATACAATGGAAGAACCATTCATGGATTATCCCCACTCTTATCATGTTTAACCAGTCTTTAATGTTTGACACTTTGTATGTAATACAAAGATTACATTACATTAAGCTTAAGAAATTGATATAAAAATTATATCATTTTTCAAACGATATTATAATATAATTATATAATATAAGCTAAAATATAAGGTAATCAAAGAACACATACTAATATATAATGTATATTTTATTGATTTAAAAGTATTTGCACTTGCCAATTTAGATGTTTTATACTAAATAAGGTGTGATTTATCTTAATTGAATAGTATAACATTTTTTTTCAATGAAAATATTGTATTTACACATGTATGAAAAATTTCTTATAATATACTATACAATAACACTTATTACATGAGCAACTTACAAGCTTTATCAAATTGCAAAAAATATATTATACAGCTTTTTAAATAAAAGATGACTATAAATATATATTAAAATTTAAATTTCACATATTCATTGTGTACAACTACGTTACAGTCTTGGAGTAGTCTCATAGACAAGAAATTGAGTTTATTCATTGAATTTCTTGATAGCCAAATAACATCAATCTCATCAATTATAATAAAATGTTTTGGAATGTTTTTTATAACATGTCTCGACTGGTAACTTGAAAACTTCTTTTAATAGAAACACGTGGAAAGAATTGACGCCACTCTTGTACTATAAAATCACTAATGCCTTCACAAAAGCTAAGATCAATCATTTCTAACTTTGGACAAAATAAAATAAACTTATAACATATATCAGGAGTAAGAGAACGTGCTCCCAATAAATCTAATTGTTGCAATCGTTGACACTGTAAAAGTGGTTCTAAATCACGATCTGTTAATCCTCGGAGTGCTGCTAAAAATACTTTCTCTAAGTATTGACATGAAGATAGTAGTGCTCGTAAAGAGTCACCGGGTGCACCCATTCCACCACTATACATAAAAATAAGTATAAATACATCTTACATCATAAAATCGTTATAAAAATCGTAAATAAAAATATTTCTTTATTATTTAACATACCACCATCCAAAATCAACTTCTCGGAGATTACTGCAATGTGATAAAGCTCTAACTCCGTGTGGTGTTAAAGTCTGCGCTTTCCAAAAATCTACACTTTCTAAGTATGGACAAGAATTTCCTAATTCAACTGCAATTTCATCAATATTTAACCGATCATGCATCCCTGCTAAATTCAAATGTCGCATTTGAATATTATTTTTCAATATAGTGCATAATGTGGAAGTTTCAATATTTGTTCTATAAAGTTCCAAACGTTCGAGCAATTCTAAGCATTCAAGTTTCGAAAATCCTTCATTTGTTATGCCCATACAGTTGCGTAAACATAATTCTAAAATATATTTTTAGTATACATAAACTTGCGAATATGGACTATAAATGTATGGGAAATTATATATTTTTATATATGACTGCTGATATTTTACATACCTTTTAAATTTTTACAAACTTTCGATATTTCAAAGATAACTGTATCATTAACAAACTGACAACAGTTTAATCTTAAGTGTGTCAGAAGAGTTCCAGATGTGTGAATAAAATGTATAAAATCTTGATACTTAATCATATTATAATTTCCACACCATGATAAATCTAATTGTTGTAAATATTTACATCTAGACGCTAAATAATTTAATGCCGACGTATCTAAACAATACCAGTAAGGTTTTAAATTGAGACTTGTATATAACAAAGCATCCCTTGCAATGTTATTAAAATGTCTGTTTACTCTGCACAAACAACACAGAGATCTTAAGTCCAAATTTTTTAAAATTTTCAGTACTGTTTCATCCTGACAAAAATATATTAAAAGCAGAACATAAAAATAGAATTTTTAACATAATTTATATAATATTAAAAAAGAACAATTACTTACTGGAAGTGCTGAGAAACTGCCACAAGGTTGATATTCAGAATCAGTTAATGATATTGAAAATCTATCGTTAGGAGAATTATCTTGTTCAAATAATGTACTTGATTTTGAATGTTGAATATCTCTGATCAATTTAGGAAAATCTTCTTGTAAAAATTGTTGTAAACTATTGAATGCTTCTTCTAGAGGAGGAACGGACTGATAATGTTGACCTATTTTGGATACTAATTTACCCTTGGACATATTATCTACAATCATACTGTAACAATTGATATTGAATATACTATTTATATTCAAATATTATAATATAATATTATATAATATTATTATTATTATTACATCTATATACCTTTTAAAAAGTTTACAGTGCTTAGAAAGAGTTTTTTTTAGAATTGATAAATCTTGATTTGCTTTTAAATAATCTGGTGTTAGATTATAAGTATCTTCGCTACTATATTCAAGGTAACCCAAATGTTGTATAAGGTCATTTAAATTTTGATTATGTAAATTATTGTTAGGAACAATTAATTCAGACGTTCCAATAAGTAATACAGCATCTAATTCTGTATAATAATCTAATAAGTCGTGATTAAATTCCAGTCTTATCATTTTTGTTTTAAAATTGCATAGCTGTAAACGAGGAGAAAATATGCGTGGCTTATGTGGAACACTTTGAGGAACACCGCTCCATAATTGATACCATTTTCCATCCGAATTTTGTGCCCATACCCCAACCACACTTCCAGGATTATAAGTTTCATATATTGAAACTCTAATTGGATATACCTCTTGATAAAATTCTAAATCTTGATAACATAAAAGCATAATTACATTTACATTTTGTAAACTATAAATATCAAAAATGTTAATGTAATATTTAATTTGACACTTGAAAACACATTTTATATAATACCTATATAATCCTGGCTTACAATATCTCCATTATTTTGCGGCATATAATCTATCAGTCTTGATGGTGCTTTGTCCCACCATGGCCCATAAGTTCTCTATAACAATAATACCTGTAGTATATTTAGGAAATATTATTGTTTTAATGAAATGAAGGCTTATAATAAAAAATTGTTTAATTATTTATGTACATATTATGTTTATACAAATAACATGGTACTATAAACATCTTTTGTAAATTTGTACTTCGATTGCTATTATAATTTTCATATGATCATTAAGTTTGGTAATAACAAAATTTTAAACAAAATATTATATAAAACATTACAATGTAATATATATTTTCCTTACTATTCTACAATATTTTATGTTAGTTTTAATTATCATACTTTCGTTGAATATAAAATATAATTTACTATTATTATGACTACATTAATAAATTTATTAATTCCTGTAAAGTTATTAGTAAAATAAATAATATTTATTTCTAATAGGTAATAATAATAAAAATATATATATACAAATTATTTTAGTTTACATATAAATTACTAAAAATTTACGAATACTATTCATACTACTTATAATAATTGTGTACTTTACATAATAAAAACAGTAAAAAATAAATATAACGTACCATAACAAAAGCTTGTGGAAAATCTCCATAGTCCGGAAATTTACTGGGATTTCCAGCAATATTATAAGCCGTGTAAGAAATACTGATATTACTTCCATACTGAGAGCTAAAGTCACACACATCTTTCACATATTGTTCGACAAATACAACAGTTTCTTCTTTTCCTTCAATTTTTTCTCCACTTATCGGTAGTATTTCAACTTTTGTCTCGTCATGAGATATCATGTCATTTAAAATTAATCAGTAGATTTTAACTTCAAAGTTCAATTAATATAGGTTAATTACTCTTTCGATACTGTTACAATTGCATGTACGATAAATATAAACAATCTTTTATAAATTAAATATTTTTAACAATTAATTATTTTAAAGTGTAAAAAACAAATTCTCATATCTTATACTTCTATTTTAACATAAAAATACATGTGGTACATGACATCTCATCAATCACAATTTTTTGAACATACTAATGATTCGTACATTGGCATTTCTTATATCATAAGAACACAAGATGAAAAATCAAATCTAATACATTATGATTTTAATGAGTTATATTTTACGCAAAGAATTAAATTCATTTAATTCAATAATCGATAATATAAACATAGAAATATAAAACAACCATTATTTGTTCAACTTAAGATTAGAGTAAAACATAACAATGACGGCTATTTGGTCACATGACCATTTCTCATTGGTTCATTTTCCACCAGGCATTATCCTGCGTATAAATCCTTGATAACCCTTTCATTTTATCAAATGAAATTCCATGCTAAAAGCTCGCATTTTCTAATGATACAACTAAATGCAAATGCAAATTTTTCTTTCTTAATGACTATATCAATAATAATAATACAAAATATATAATGAACACTTCTAACAGCATATGTAATATCACACAGCGTTCTTAAAAAAAAGTCACGTCAGTTTATAGTTTTTTGGTCTATTAAGTCCACTGGTTTGTCAAATGAATATCATAAAACACTGAGTGACATCAGTTTTCAGAGTTTCCTTTCTGTGAAAGGGAATAGAGAACATTCCAATCAATGTAAGTATCAGTAACTAGTAATACATGGACAAAAAGAAGTTTCTTTTGTGTTTTACATCCTCTACCATCTGTTAAAGTCAGAGTTTGAAACAGACAATTTAAAAACTTCTTATATTCATCATAAATGACAATTATCAGCGTCAAGTAGATACCAAGGATATGAATACTTCGGGTTGTTCAGAAGTCGAGTCCACAGATGGCACAAGGCTAAGAAAGGATTCTTGCTAGGGATTTTGTTTACGGTTTTCACTGGTTACGCGTAATCGTATTGACGAATAATAAATTAGTATCAAAAATGAGATGAGAAAAGATGAAAGCTGACCGATCAAGACCCGCATTCACTTCAGAGCTCATCTCCTGAGCAACATGGAGGTTCTTATGTGCACTGTTGCACTGAGGAAAGATATAAATTGGGTAACCAATGTAAATTTTTGGCATACTATGGAGGGAGTTATCATTTTCGTATCACGTCCTATTATATCGACTTAGGCTGGTTTTGCATTGCAGCGCTGTAAGTGATAGGAATCAGAATCAAAAATATTGTCTGGGGCTCCGGGGATCTCAAGTCCCTCGTACCATTTTGGTGTCACGATCGACGTTACCTGTAATACAAGTTTTTAGGCTTGTTAGCAGAAATCGGATTACCTGTATACTTCATTTTTGCAATTTAGTCGTATGATTTAGCGGTAGCAAATAAGGCGCGTACATTTAACACTAGAACCACCAGATGGGTCGAAATGACCCATTTCTAAATTCTTCTTTTACAATTATTGAAAAAACAATAGATCCTTCTCTAACAAATTTCTAAAGAAATTATTTTACTAAGTTTCGAGTGGTCGAAGTCTCAGGTTGCAGCTAAATACTAGTATAATATCAGTACTGTAATACCAAATCATTATTAATTATTTTTAATACCATTCGTCTTTATTACGAAGAAATAAATATTACTATAGCAAAACGCTCGAAATTCTCGTGGCAGTCAACGTGTTAATTACTTGGCATACTTCAACATGATAATGCTAGTTTCCAAGTCTCACCACGTGGAGGTTGCTGCGAGGAGACTCTGGAAGGTGGATGAACATTGAACTCTATCGACCTCCCTTTCTAATTTTAAATCTTATTTTTAACGCACTTAATATTATCGCATTTAATATTACTCCCATGACAGCTGTTTTCTTTCTTGAGTTTGTATTGAAATGAAAAATGTTCCACGACGGATGATCGATGTCTTTTTTCTTGAGGTTAACACGTTCGCTACCAGCGTCACATATTTGTGACGGCCGGAATCCTATATTTTACACAATGAAAACGAAATTAATCCTATAGATATTGTTATTAGAAATTATAAACTACAACATTGCATTTAGAAACTCAATGACTCGTTTCAGTTTCATTTTACGAATATTTTGTTTGGAAGATTTATTGGATTGAAGAAAATATTATAATTGATAAGACCGTCACCGAAATAAGCGCTGGTAGCGAACGTGTTAAGGCCGCGGTTTCCAACCTGGGAGGCGCCAAAATTTGTAATAAAAAATTAATGTTCATACCATAATATTTACAAATAAATGAACTTCATATCGTAACGTAAGTGTACAAATTCAGTGAAGCAATGTTTATTTTGTAATAAAGTTATTATTATTTAAAACGTGTCTATATTATTATATCTATTAAAAGATAAGAAGGCATGGAAAAAAAATTTTTTTTAGAGAAGCCTAGTAGCATAAAAGTCGGAAACTGCTGGGTTAAGGATAACTTACGAAAGATTTATTTCTTTCTTAAACTACACTTGGAGATGTCGCGTATGCTGAAAAATTATTGGACCAAGAGAGCAAAAGGAGTGAATCAAGGAAGAAGTTCTTGATTTTAATCGGATGAATAAGAGAAGAAGTCTCTGATTTCAAAAAAGAGGGAGAGACGCAGCCATTTCATTCATTCAAATAACTTTTATTTACAATAACAATAAATTTTTACAGAAAATATAGATAATAATATATTCTTATGCTACATTTTATATCTCATGTTTCCAGTCTTTTGTAATCCCTATCTTTAGATTAACCTACCAATTATATATATACTTGTCTTACATATATACAGGGTGTCCCGCGACTCACTATTCGAATAACCTGCCATATTGAGAAATTGTTAGATGCTGAATAATTATACCGCTAATAGAATAGTACGAACGATAAATTATCAACCGAGGTCATTACTATATCTTTAAATACAAATAAGAATTAAAACAAGAGTGTATAGTGAGACGACAAAGTCGACATGTATCGAGTGTACACATACCGAGTAAACTTTCAAAAATTTTATTCTACTTTTTCGACTCATTTTTACATGTAGAATGACCTCCTAATCGGTTGACCATGAGTCGCGGGACACCCTGCATATTATAACTATTATAATATTTTTTACTTAGACTTATTCGTTCTACGGTTACTTTTTATTTCAGGTGCGCTAATATCACCTTTTATTTTCGATATATGTAGAAAAATATAAAAAGAAAACACCTACTTATACTAATTTCAGTGTTGTTTTACTACTCTACTGAACCTGTCTGCTTTCTTCTAGTTCACTTTGCCTGATCACCAGTGCCCTCCTCAATGGACAAACCCGGACGCGGCTCGGGTTCAGGTTCTCAACACTCCTAATGCCCTGCCACCGAGCAACGACAAGCGTGAGCATTCCCGCACAACGGCGCGGCCGACTAGGCACATTGATTCGGACACTCGTTCACAAAGTTGTCACTGGCGCTTTGCAACCAAATCGATCACTTACATTCGTCGGTGGTTGAGATATTCGATGAAGATAAAATAGGTATCATAAATACCGATTAATTTCTAATTTTCCGCGAGTTGACAAATCAAATAATATAATATCTGAAGTTTATTTGTCTTCGATACATACCTTTGAACTTTATAATCTGATCGTCAATTCAATGTTTAAATTCCTATTTAACCTCAAATTCGTTAAACAAATAGCTCGCACGATAAAATGATTTCTTTGTCATCGGATGAAATGTCGTGAGAAATGTTTAAATTTCAATCAAGTCATAATTTTATTTAAAATGGTATGTACTGTAAACTATTTTATTTTGAAAAACAAGCTTCGATTTCATGTAACCCCTTTAATTTACATGAAAGATAAATTAATTTACAGTAACAATGTATGTTACTTTTTAACCGATAACGTTAAATATGTTATTTCCATTTATATTCCGAAGATTTGTATAATTTTCTGTAAATACATTTTGATATTTTTTCATGCATCTTACCAGTAGCGACTTGTTACGAACGATGGATACTTACGGACCCTTCAGCCAAGAAAGCAGCATTGGATTCATTCCGCAAGACCGCATTCAAATTGACGGCAATGTGACTGTCCTCAAACAATTGTACGAAAATTTAGCCATAAGTCAAATGAAATTGTCATCGAACAGTTGTACGCAAACGTATTTCGTATAGGGGTCATCGGTGACCTCAACCAAATCGATTTACTATAATTCACTCGATTAAACAATGATTATTTGAAAACTTTTCTATGTTATAAGTAATACCACTTAATGCAGTGACATTCAACAAGATAAACCTTGCAATAATAATAACGTCATTCAATTACATAAGTTGATATTACATTATTATCATTTTCTATATTGTTCTCGGCAAAATCGGTTAATTGAATCGGCAAAATAAATAAATGTTAATAATGTTATTGGAATAAAACCAAGATTCATTTTCTGACCATTTCAATCGAACGAAACTTGTCCGATAAAACAATGTTGTTTTAGTGACATCGATCAAGATGCTCTTTGCATATGTTACACGGAGACTCGCGACTTCCTGGCAGCAGGGTTAATCGACGGGACGATTAAGCTGTATAAATTGAATTCCAAGGTAGATGTGTTGACATTGCGCGACACTGAAACTATGCAAAAACCCAGCCCGACAACCGCAGTTCAACACAGACCTGTTCATAAATCTCATCCGATCAAAAGAACTGTAACTGCAACCTGTTAGTATTGGTTCTAGATATTTCTTTCTAAGTAAATCTTTATTATTAACCCCTTCTTCTATAATATCTAGTCAGACTCGCGACGAAAATTTTCAATCGAATTCGACAAATTTAAATGTTAATTATTTATTTTTCTCATAAATGAAATATTAGTTGTGTATTATCAAATTTTAATCTTTAGAGTAAACACGTAAAAGTTATAAAACAACGATTTAGAAGACATTTGATACGGGAAAAAATGAATATCCTAGACTTCTTATATCAAAACACAAGGATTAATTACTCGAATTTAGTTACATCGAGAAATTCCGTTGAAATTTCTTGTTCCTTCTATATAAGTTACTTGGTTTAATATATTATACATTATAAATTAGTATATTACAATTAATTTACTAATTATAAAAAGAATTACATAAAAAAGAATTTTCCTCGACCCTTTGCACTCGGGACGTGACTCTCAGTCACCATTTGGGCTGATACGGTAAAATTGTAAAGTTTGATGTTTAATATTGAACTTTGTATAATGTGTCATTATGTGAAATCACGTAGAAAAGTACTTTTGTCCCTCGAATTAACGATTAAGTTAATTACATTAGTCGCAACAAACGTTGTCTATATTTTATCAAAGAGTGTTGAATATTTCTAGCAAAAGACTTTCGAGTGCAAAGGGTTAATAGTGCATTAAGGCAAGGCCAGCGGAAAGGTTGATTAATTGCAAAAGTTTGAATTTTGTTTGGTTATTCAACAAATGCAGATGCCAATGGCTGTGTGAAATGTTGGCATTACCCGAGCTCACAATGTCTTTACACAATACGGGAAAAGAGGCAGACTCTTGGTTTGGCTTATCACACTCATTTACCAAAGTTTGTAACGACAGGAGATGACGCGAAGATTTGCTTGTACGACGAAGAAACTAATACTCAGGAAAGAGTATTTCACGCAAGGTTTGTCGTTCAAAAGAATAAAATTTAGACATTTCTAATTGTGTCACGTTCGGTAGAAGTATTGTTTAAGAAAGTATTAATGGATCGTTTCTTTCCTAATGTAAATAATAATGCAGAGGTTGTATTACGGTTTTGCAAAAATAATCGAGTTTAACAAAATATTATGCACATTTTATTCTAGATTGTTTTCTAGAATTGGATATTTATCGAATATCGGCACCTATTACATTTATATTAGATGTATACGATCTTCGTATAAAAACTCACCGCATGAAAAGTAAATCATGTAAAGTTAAAGTGTTAACCCTTTGCACTCGGATGTTCCTTACTAGAAATATTTAACATTTCTTTACGGGACGAAGACGATGTTCTTTGAGACTAATTCGAAGAGAAATCACTAGTACATTGAGGAACAAAGCTGTTTTACTCCAATGTTTCACGTATCGAGGCATTATACAAAGTTTAACATTAAATATCACATTCTATAGTTTTACTGTGTCAAATCAAGTGGTGACTGAGAGTCACCTCTCGAGTGCAAAGGGTTAAAGTATTGTAAAATTTTGTCGCGAGAGACGTACGTTTTTTCGAAATCATTTACTCCGATGGACATTACGGCAATTGAAAAATAGATGCTTTTAAAATATAGGTTTTTTAAGAAGAAACTAACTTTCATTAGAAACATTTATTCGACACATAACAGTTTCGGCGGTGTAATCACGTAGAATCAATCTGCGACAGTTTTCCTTTTACAATCGTAATACGTTTACTTTGTGATTCGCATTAATGACAATGATAACAGTCGAAGGCACGAAAGTCTAGAGCTCTAGAATGAAACAAACGATGCTAGAAATCTTACAATTATAGGATGTTGCTTTTCGCGTTCACGTTGGTGTCATTTATATTAAAATTCACTCGCAATTGCTTAAATATTTACAATGAATTTCTCGTTGCAACGTTTCTTTATTTGCAAACAATAGTTTCTCTTGCGACTCTAATTGTAAGTGTAATTATTTTATGTACAGTAATTCCAGCATGCATGACAATTACATATATTTACAATAATGTCACTGGCAATTTCTTTTTCTCTTTTTCGACTTGAGATGGTTTCTATGCTCATGATTTCACTTATTTTGCAATGTATTTTGCCTTATAATCAGGAATGGGATCAAATTTAATGTACACGCATGAATCAATATCATTTTTATATACTAATTAAATTGTAAAAATTAATCTACAACAAAATTTTAACGTTCGAATGAATTAAATCTCATAGAAGCTAAATTTGTTTGTCTAAGGTTTCAAGACTTCGAAAAAAAATGCTAGTACATTTTTAAAAATACTTGCAAAGCCTGCTTACATGCACTTTTTCTCATCCCATCTGTATGATGCGGTTATCGCGCGTTCGATTAGGAATACTCAAACTTATAAATAGTTTTCGTTTCAGCGAGTCATTGGAAGTCATGGACGGTCACAAATCGAGGGTCTTCTGTGCGTGTTTCAATCCGAGATCAGCACACGAGCTAATCTCTGGTGGTTGGGACGACACGATTCAGTTCTGGGACACCAGACAACCCTATGCGCTGCGACGAATTTCCGGTGTACACATGTGCGGCGATGGACTGGACATCACTAAAAATGGCAAAGAGGTATTCGCGCAGGAAGATTCGCGGCTCTAGTATTTTCTCTTAACACGTTGACTACCACGGTGGTCACCGATGACCGGATCTTCCAAATTGCTGAAGAGCTATTACAATAAAAATCTTGGTTTTAAATAAAAATATTTAGTAACATAAGTAGCCATATCATAGCGTAATATGACTACTGTGATACTAAACCATTAATAATTATTTTCAATATCATTCGCTTTTGTTATTTAGGAATAAGTATTACTATTCAAAACGCTAGAAATTTTCGTGGCAGTCAACGTGTTAACTCCTCGGCCTACAGTTTATTTCACAACTACGATCGACGCGTCTACTTTGTCGTTAATAACCTATGGAAAAAGAGAGAAAAATTTTAGGCATATCCTATGCACATGTCCGCTCTGAAGTATAGTAACTGACAACAGAAGAATACTATTTAATTTGGATTCATACAAATCGAGTAATATTTATGCCTGTTCAATTCTGTTTTAAATTTTCACCACGAATCTGACACGTTATCATTGCACAGAACTAAATTCCTTATTACGCAGAATTAATATGTAATTATTATGCGGATTGCATAACAAGAGCGGTTATCCTTCTGTGATTATTCGAATACTCGGGTATCCGTTTCTACAGGGTGTGTCAACTTTATCATCCAAAAAATTTTCGTTCTCTCTAAATTTGATCACAATGTTTCCAACAAAAAGCGGAAATTGCATAATTGTTTGGTGATCAGAGTATGGTAATACTTTTATTTCGTTACAAAAAGTTAACGAGATGAGGGGGTGGCCTTTGTCGATTTGTATTTTATTTGCATATATCTGATAGACATTTTGAAAACAAACTCGATAGGTTAAACAATGAATTTTTACTTTGTTTCTTTATTCGATTGCTTTCCTCTTGTTCCATTTAAACATTCAGAATTTCTAATCATTAATCCTCTATGCGCCGAATTTTTGTTCATGATTATAACAAAATCTATGCAGTACAAAATTAATAAATATCCACATATGAATGCGAATTAGCAATGTATTCAATAGTTTCAATAATTTCATCAAACGAATATATTTTGTAACTTTCAAGTTACAATGACGTTAAACTTTCACACCTGAGCGTATAAAAGTTTAAGTTAACTGATTACTGAATTTTATTCACCACTTCGAGCGCAAAATGAAAAAATCAATAAAATGCCATCACACTGATATGTGACTTTAAAGTTACATGGACCTACAGAGAGTTAGTATAACTTTTTATCATATTTCACATATGGAAAACCGAAATGTAAGTACATGATCTTACGTTTCATGTATGGCGCAATGGCATAGCCACAGGATTAATTAGAAGGTACGTTTTGTGAATAGATTTTGTCTTGCGCCTGGCAAAGGCAGAACCCTATTCAACTGTGGGACTATGGCAGCGGGAAGTTGCTCGTTTCCCTAGAACCTGACAGCTACTCTTCCCTGCTCTATTGCGGCAAATATGTGACTAACATGTTCCTCGCATGCGGGGGTACGGATGTAAATCTCTTCAGGGTGGTCGACTTGAGATCTCACGCTGTAAGTTTTTCATGAAATCACGCAAACCTTTACAGAAGCGAAATTCCGCATTCGTTAACACGTTGAATGCCGTGGGGGTCACCGGTGACCCCAAACCAAATCGAATTACTATAGTTCACTCTATTAAACGATGGTTATTTGAAACATTTTTATATTACAAATAATGCTATTTAATTTCGTTACATTCAACTAGATGAATGTGCAATAATAATAATGCAATTCAATCAAATGATTTAATGTCATATTTTTTTCATTTTGTGTATTTTACGGTATGAAATCGTGCGGCATTCAACGTGTTAAAATCAAATTTTCAGTGCGCGTGCGCGCAGCAGTTGTATTTCGTGAACACAGCCGTGGAACTTAACACTAGAACTACCGAGCATTTAACACGTTCGCTACCAGCGTTACATATTTGTGACAGCCGTAATCCTATATTTTACATAATGAAAATGAAATTAATTCTATGAATATTGCTATTAGAAACTATAAATCACGACATTATATTTAAGAACTCAATGACTCGTTACAGTTTCATTTTTCTAATATTTTGTTTAGAAGATATATTGGATTGAAGAAAATATTATAATTCAGGAGACTGTCACCGAAATAAGCGCTGGTAGCGAACGTGTTAATACGGTTAATATGTAATCCCTATAAAAATTGCGACAATTGTTTTCAATTTTTTCAGGCATTCATTATAGTATTCAAGTGAAACTATTTAATTCCAAGATCAATTCGAATATTCAATGTTTTTAAGATATCAATAATTACGAAAGAAACAAATCGGGATCAGTTATTTTGACTGATACGGGTAGTTCTAGTGTTAAGGACATCGAGTGCGCATGTGTGCGGATGTTGCATTTTATAAATATAATTTCAGAATTCCATGGTACGAAATCAAAAATAAATTGTTTTGTATTGTCACATAGTAAATAGGAAAATATTCTAAAATCTATTAGAATACTCAAAAAGATATATGTATATCACTACAAAGAAAGTTTTTAAGTGAGAGTAACTGTATGAAATTATGTACTTCTTAAATACGGTTTTAAACAGATTAATAGCTATTCCAAAAACTTTCAATTTAGTAAGATTAATGTTAAAGACTTTAACACTAGAACTACCGCAGTAGTCAAAATGACTGGTTTCGGTTTTTTTGTTTCGCAATTATTGATATCTTGAAAGCATTGAATATCCGAAATGATTTCGGAAATAAATAGTTTCACCTCAATACTATAATGAAATGTCTGAAGAAACCGAAAATAATCTATTGTTAATTTTTATACTGATTGCATATCAATCGTATTAACACATTGAATGCCACGGGGGTCACCGGTGACCCCAAACCAAATCGAATTAATATGATTCACTCAATTAAACGGTGACTATTTGAATACATTTCTGTATTATCAATAATGTTACCTAGTGCAGCGACATTCAGCAACGTAAACGTGCAATAACAGTAAATTCAATTCAATTCAATAATTCAATATTATATCTTTTTCCATTTCGTGTATTTTGCTCAGTAAAATCGCGAGGCATTCAACGTGTTAAATGTTCGGTAGTTCTAGAGTTAATAGAAATTTCACTTCTGTAAGACTACTCTGCGACAGAATCTGCCTGGTCTCCGAACTATCGGTTATTTATTAATAAAGATATTGCTTGTTCGACAGACTCTAGCAATGATTAGAAATCTAAGCGGAGGTGCGTACAGCATGGACATAGGGCCGGTGAATCCAAAGCATGCGAAGAAAACGAATACAGCTACCGTTGTGCCGCAGATCGCGTTCTGTGCTGGCAGACGGATCTTCGAGATAGACGCTCAGCCTGGATGACGAAAATCGGGACGCAGTTTTTTTCGTGTGAACGTGTGTCTGAAAATCAAACGTTTCAACGAGAACCAAAACATATACGTGTGCGTGTCTCTGTTGTTCTCCGAGTGAAATATAAAACAAGAAATAGTATATCAAAGGATGAATTGTTTCGAATGTTTTATTAATTTCTCTTTGTCAAGATCATTTCATGGACGTTTCAACCTTAGCCTTAAATCAGAACCGGACGATCGTTTTCAGCCGAAGTAGAAACTAGTCAGTCGGTCACTTCGATCGAAATAATAAATAAGTCCGCGTACCTGCTCGGAGTTTTCAAACGCAAAGCAGCACAATGAATTGGCGAAGTAACATTTTCTTTTATTCTAATATAATGTGTTACAGTTTAATAGCATTCGCTCTCAGGATTGTTCTCGTCTCGAAATACTTCTCGTTCTGAGAGACAACAGCAGTTAGAATGAACGTATGAGAAAATTATTTGCAAAATTATCCTCAGTAATAAAATATATTTCTACACACACAGTCGTCGCGGTGCATCATTATATCAAAAAACGAGCCTCGCATTCATCATCATCCGGGGGAGTAGAAAATTGGTCAACATGGCTTTGCAAACGCAAACAGAAGAACGAGCGGTCCGATGATATGTTTTGTTAACGACGAGCTTAAATTTCTTTCTTCACTTTTCTTCTTTTTTGCCTTTTTTCTTTCTAAGCAGCGTTTCGCACATTGCGCTTTTACGAGAGTCACAATGCGTAGCAAATCGAATTTTTGCTGGAGAGAAAGAGAAAGAGAGAGAGAGAGAGAGAGAAAGAGAAAGAGAAAAAAAGGGAGGGAGAGAGAGAAATAGAGAAAGACAGAGAGTCAGGGAAAGGGAGATAGAGAGAGAAGATCGTCGTCACTGGTTGTCGAAAAAGGAAAGCAGTAATGGTGAACCGAATGGTAAAATCAATCGGGTCGCACGACGATGCTGGCGATTGTGGGAGTGTGCAAAGTGTGGTACAGTCGATAATTATTCGATTGGTCAGACAGAGGCCGCTCGATCGAATCGTTCGAACGACTCGCGGAACGATTCCTCCGGGAA